TTGTACTTTTTATTGAGAGCTTAAGTAACTAGTTACTTTAGTTACTCGTTACTTGTCAGGTCAAAATTAGACATTAAAATCACTTCTGATCAGCTTATGGACTGCAACACATTGTTAAATAATAAAGCAGTGATTTCCAAGCTTCTTGGCCTTTGACCTCTAACAAAACATCAGTGTCTAGTTGTGCTGTCATGTCTCAGATGTAACTTGTTGGCAGTTACACCAAAGAGACATTTCCTCTTTCAACTGCTCAGATTGTTTCATTTAGTCAATTGTTTTGAGGCCCAGAGAGGTCTTGTGACTCTTTGGAGGGACTCAAGCCCTAGGTTGGTAACCACTCGGCTAAACTGCCGAACTGTTTCTGGAGAAGTTCAAACGAGCTTCACCTCAGGCAGCTACAGCTACTGAGCATCAAAAACAATGAAATTTGAAGATGAGTCACAGGATGATTTAGATATGATTTTCAGGATGTAGCTTTTGGGGGGATTTGTTGTGACTGCAAGAAAGAAGAAAAATACACCCAAATTAAGTCAAGTTTACCGGGAAGGCATATTCTCCTGGCTCGGCGGAATCTGTATCTCTGTTCTCTGAAGTTCGTTTTTCCACATTAACCTAAGAAATAACAAAATACATCATTTTACACAGAAAACTACCTTTGTCATCTCTTTGTATAGAAATGACTGCAAATCCACCTAAACAGTCCTAAAAGAAAACACCAAGTAAGTCAAGGATCTTCAGAAAAGCTCCATACAGACTGTGGATCTTCTTACCAGATCAGAAGACTGTTTATACTTCAGCGGAGTGGATGCATCAGCAGATGTGAAGGTTGTGGTGAGCAGGAAAGCCTGCAGACACAACATGAGCAGCAGCACAGTTCTGTCCATGGCTGATGAACTGAAGCCAACATGAAGCCCACATTTATACACTCAGTCGAACCGAAGTGGACGAAGGTGAAGCAATAACAGGATGTCAGCCATACTGCATTAATATCAGCAAGTCATTCTCAGCAACACTATTGTTGATTGTAAGTGTTGATAATAAGTTTCAAGCTAGAGTAGTGTGTTTCCTGCACGCAATAATGATGCATAGGCATACAAAACAACACATAAAGCAGCCTACGATGAACTACGATACATAAAAACACTCTAATGTGACCTCATGGTTGTAGGGTTAAATAGCACGCCACATGTCATGTTTATGCATTTTAAGCTTTTTGCATGCAACATAACACTGTTTTGGTTAAAGTCAAGGGTTACGGGTTTGTCAGCAAAGAAATGAAATGACGAGAAAGTAGATGTGAAAAACAAAAAATGCATAATAACACCACATGAAATGACTGAAAATCATTTCAGCTTCACCTGATCCCACCTCCATCCGATAAAAGTAAATGGGTGTAAAAAGGCATGAGAAAACAGCAGTCAATAACACAACCAAATTGACAAGTGATTGGCTGAGTAGTCCATTAAAGAGAGGCTGGCCCTGTTTGTTCCTCTCATTATCAATCACATAGCTTATGGTTAGAGAAGACAGACCTTTAGCCACTCTATTCAATTCTTTTGAGAAATAAACAATTACCCTAAATCTAATGTTTGTGTTATCAATACGAGGAGGACACACTGTGGTACAGTAGCCTCGTAGGACATATAGTACAGTCTTGGGAAAGTTACTAGGTTACAGATTACTATTTACCCTGTTGAAATGTAATAATGTTTCAATGACTTGATTAAAGTAATATAACTTATTACATTTTATTACTTGATTACTTTACAGTACTGTTAATTTAGTCTGTTGGTGTCCTGTGGAAATGTCAAAGCAGGTTAATATTTAATGAAAACACAATGCTGAATTAAGTTAGTGAGTGTTATAAGATCTCACACCTATCACAAAGAACATATTTGGTTGTAAGTTGTTTGTAATCACCAACATTTTGATTAGTAATTGTAATTAAATGACACATTTTCTCAGTAATTGCAATACATTACAATGCCATTTATTTTGGAATTTAATTACACAATCCTGTTACTCCCCAACACTGCTTTTCTATTACCACAATATAATCTATTACCAGCTCCACTGGTCTAGTCAAACAGATAGTGACATGGCAAAAGGGAACACTCAATTGTAAGATAGCTGGCATACTAAACTGTTGCCACTTTTTATATCAACTGCATATCTTTATTGCTATAACTATCCTACTTGGTGACAAAAATTGAGACCGATTAAGTGTGTTTTTCTTTTCTGATTCTGTTGTTGAATAAATGTAACAGTTCTCTGCACCAACCTTACAACAGGGTTTCTTGTTTGTAAACTGAAGCCCTCAGGGCCTGTAACTCCACCCAGATAAACAATCACCAGCTGGCCATGACTCCAGGCCTTATGCTAAGCTAACTGTTTCCTGACTGGCCCCTATAGCTTCATATTCATATTTAGTTTTGTAAAACATGCATTTGCTTTCTTGTTGAAAGTTAGTTTGAGACGTTAGATACCACTTCCATGTCACTGCAGTGAATATGATGCTACAGCAAGCAGCCAGTTAGCAAAAACACCAGGAACAGCCTGGCTCTGTCTAAACTCAAACATAATTTACCCTAACTGTTTGCTGGCTCCAGCTCTATATTTAACGGACAGACATGAGACTAATCTTCTGCATTAATGCATAAAAATAAAAAATAAATCCACAAAAAGGATAACAATCTGTCAAAGATCATTTTCTGTGTATGATTAATTTTTGATTAAAATGTCAGAATCTCATCATTCTAAGGATACAAAACATTGAATCACTTTGTTTTAAATGTAACATTAATGAAGTTTTCCAACAGATGGACACTTGTGGGATGCTGTTGTAACAGAGCATCAGAATGTTGCACCATCAACCACTAATATAGAACAACAACGAGGAAGCAACACAGAAATTAAGCAACATCAAAAAGTAAATACAACATATATCAAACTGCCATCTCTCTCTCTCTCTCACAAACACACGCACGCACGCACGCACGCACGCACACACACACTGACCCCAAGCCTAACCTAAACCTCATCCTTGCTCTTTATCCCATTTTTTAAACACATTTCTCCCATCTTTCACTTGGTATTGCCAAATACTGCAGCAACATAATTTGTGTAGTTTGTGCAGAGTATCCTTGGTGGTACAAAGATAAAGATTTTAACTGCTTTATCCTACATATTGTCTTTGTCTTTGACTGAGTCTCTAAAGTCTTTTCTTTAAAAGTGAAGAAAAAATCAGCCATTTCTGTGAGAACATTCACTTGTATTAAAGTATTTTTATAGTGTGCTATTATGCCACAAGTATGGTTTAACTACAGGCTATATTTATATTTTAAACAAATGAAACCACTTTGAAATACTATTTGTATAACGATATTATCACTTACTATGCTATGACTTTTTTATGCCATACTATACTATGACTTTTTTATGCCTTACTATACATTGCCATTTTTATGCCGTCCTATTGTATGACATCTTTATGACATTTTATGCCTTACATTAATATGACATTTTTTTGACATGTCATGCCTTACTATATTGTAATGTTTTTTATGCCTTACTGTACTGTGAATTTTTTACATCTTACTATTATATGACTTTTTTTATGACTTATATACTATGACTTTTTATGCCTGGCCTTATGCCAGTTCATGCCTGTCCCAGTTCTGCTGCCAGCTCCTGCTGAAAATGACTGTTGTGCCGCAAGTTTCAGCCATGACGCTCACCTGCTCCCACTCAGATAACTTACCTGCTCCATGCCAGCCACCTCCACGCTCCTCCTGCAGCAACCTGGATCCTTTGACCCCCAACATTCCCCCAGATCTGTGTCCCTCACTCATTGAACAGTTGCCATTAAATAACTTTTATTACCATACCACTGGTTGTTTCTTGTCTTAATCGGCCCTGGGGTCCAAACAGAATTTTAACCACATTGTAACAACTTACTATGCTATGACTTTCTTATGCCTTACTTAACTATGACTTTTTTATGAATTATTATACTATGACGTTTTTATGGCATTTTATGCCTTATTATTCTATGACGTTTTTATGCCTTACTATACTATCATGTTTTTATGATGTATTAATGCCTAACTATGCAACAACGTTTTATTGACGTTTTATGCCTTACTATACTATGACATTTTTATGCCTTACTATACTATTACGTTTTTATGCCTTACCATAGTATGACATTTTTATGATATTTTGTGCCTTACTATACTATGATGTTTTTTGACAATTTTATGCCCTACTATATTATGAAGTTTTTATGCCTTAATAAACTATGATTTTTAAATGACATTTTATGCCTTTCTATACTATGGCATTTTAATGACATGTTAATGCCTTACTATGCAATGACGTTTTATGCGTTACTATAGTAGGACATTTTTCGACGTTTTTATGCCTTACTATACTATGACGTTTTTATGAAATCTTAAGCCTTACTATACTATTGCATTTTAATGACATCTAAAGCTTTACTATACTATTACGTTTTTATGCCTTACCATAGTATGACATTTTTATGTCTTAATATATTGCCACAGTTTTTGATGTTTTCATGCTGTACTATACTAAGAGGTTTTTTGACATTTTTATGCCTTATTATACCATGAAATTTTTTCATTTTTATACCATACTATACTATGACGTTTTTTGACATTTTTAGGCCTTACTATACTATGACCTTTGTTCACACTTTATGCCATACTATACTATGACATTTTTCATATTTTTATGCGATACTATAAAATGATGTTTTTTTGACATTTTTAGACCTTACTATACTATGATCTTTGTTCACACTTAATGCCATATTATACTATGATGTTTTTTGATGTTTTATGCCTTACCGTATGATTTTTAAATGACATTTTATGCCTTACTATACCATGATGTTTTATGACATTTTATGCCTTACTATACTATGAATTTTTTTCATATTTTTACACCTTACTATACTATGACATTTTTTCATATTTCTATGCAATACATTTTATGACCCTTTTATGCCTTCCTATACTGTGACATTTTTTCATATCTTTATGCCTTACTACACTATGACGTTTTTATGCCTTACTATACTTTGCAGTTTTTTGACATATTTTTATCTTACTTTACTATGGCGTTTTAATGACATGTTTAATGCCTTACTATGCAATGATGTTGACATTTTATGCCTTACTATGGTAAGATGTTTTATGACACTTTTATACTTTTTGCTTTCATATTTTTATGCCATACTATACTATGATATTTTTCATATTTTTGTGCGATATTATAAAATGACGTTTTTTTTGACATTTTTAGACCTTACTATAATATGATCTTTGTTCACACTTAATGCCCTACTATACCATGATGTTTTATTGACATTTTATGCCTTACTATGGTAAGATGTTTTTTGACATTTTTATGCCTTACTATACTATTACATTTTTATGCCATCTAAAGCCTTCATATACTATTACGTTTTTATGCCTTACCATAGTATGACATTTTTATGCCTTAATATACTACCACAGTTTTATGATGTTTTCATGCCGTAATATACTAAGAGGTTTTTTGACATTTTTATGCCTTATTATACGATGACGTTTTTTTGGACATTTTATGGCTTACTATACTCTGACGTTTTTATGCCATACTATACTATGACATTTATTTGACATTTTATTCCTTATTATACTATGATGTATTTATAACATGTTAAACCTTACACAACCTGACATTTTTATGTCTTACCATAGTATGACACTTTTATTAAGTTTTTATTCCTTACTATACTATGATGTTTTTATTCCTTACTATACTATGAAATATTTATGCCTTACTTCACTATGATGTTTTTATGGCAT